TGAGAAAGCAGTTTGTAGTTCGGAAACGTCAAAATTGGTACCTGATCTTTCTTCGCCTAAAGAAGAAGAAGAAATCGAAAAGTTGAAAACTGTTAGTCAAGATGTAGGTAGCTGTAGAGAAGCTAATGGAGTTTCCGAAAGATTAACGTTGAAGAATTCGAAAGAAGAATTGACGAGGCCAAAGATAGAAACTTCACCTGCAACGCCCACGGAGAGGAAGGAGTCATCCTCCGCTGTTTCCAATATCGCGTCGCCTGAAACAGGGCCGTTCACGCCGCAAGAGAAGGTGTTGCCCATCATCGAGCAGCAAGAAACTACCATTCACCTGCAAACTCACTCGGAAGAATTGAAACAGAATTCGCCGGAAAGTGGCAAGACAACGCCACACTTGGACAATCCCGGTTCGGTGAAACGGACACCGCCGTCGCAACCTGATTTACCGTCTATGGGAGTTTATACGCCGGACTCGACCACGAATTCGGTGCATTCGTTGCATTACGGCCAGTGCGACTTGGACGTCAGCCAGTTAGGACTGGAGTCGCCTACGTCGATCGCTAGCGATCTTGCGTCGCAGAATAGCGTCGAGAGACCACCGAGCGCGTTGCCATCGATGCCATCTTCTGTTAGTGTTCCAATTTCGGTGCCCATGCAAATAACTACACCGGTCACATCCGCCGCTGTAAATATTTCACCGCAAGTACAGTATGCCGATTGCTCAATGCCTCAGCATACACCGTCGACGCACGTCAATATTCATCCAATGCATCAGCCACATACGCCGCAGCCTCTTCAGCAGCCACGTACACCGCAGTCTCACACGCCTCAAAGTATGCAAACGCAAAGCCCTCAACCCCTTCCGCAGAGTCATACGCCACAGCCGTTACCTCAGTCTCACACGCCGCAGCCACTCTCTCAGTCTCACACGCCGCAAAGTATTCCGACGCAAAGCCCTCAACCGATGCGACAGAGTCACACGCCGCAGCCTTTACCACCGTCCCACACACCTCAACCGATGCAATTGTCTCTGGCTCAACAAACGCAAAATCAAAGTATGACGCACGGTCAGTCTCAGCAGCAGCAATCTCAAGCCCAGCAGCAACAGTCCCAACAGCAACAACAGCAGTCGCAAACGCAGTCTCACAGTAACAAGAGGGCCAGCGGCTCGCAAACGACTCACAGATCGAGGTCGGCGCAGCAGAGTAGCAGATCGCATCGGACCACACCTCCTACGTCGCATGCTCAGGCCTCGTCCCAAGGTCATACAACCTCTCACGCGACGAGTCACGCGAGCCACACGAGCTCGCACACGAGCCACACAAGCTCGCACACGAGCCATACAACGATCGCGCATACAACGCATGTACCGCCGCAGTATCAGCAGTCCTCGTCGATGAGCGTACCGCCTGTACCTCATCCACATTCTCATACACACGCTGCTCATTCGCACAATATGGCCGTTATCTCGCAGGGGAATTACATGGCCGTCGCTTCGCAAACGTTCCCAACACAGAACACGTACGTGATCCAGCATCGAAGCAGCAGATCCGGCGCACCGACACCATGCACCACAGCGACGAACTTTTATATTCAGACGAGCGCGATGCCACCACATTCGCACACACCGGCGCCCTCCTTGTCAGCTTCTGGAAATCACCAAACCACGAACTCATGCAGTCTAGCAAAATTGCAACAGCTGACGAACGGATTGGAGATGATACCTCCTACACCTCCGCCGGCGATGAACCTGACGCCACCGCCGCCCATACCACACACTATGACACCACCGCAAACGTCGAGGCAATTGCCGACGCCGCCTCAAGTACCCCTTGGCTACGCAAAGAATTACTATAACGTCAATACGGTTCCGCCTACTACTCCCGGACCACCCAGTAGATCCACCTCGAGGTCATCGGCGAACGCAAATATGCCGTCTCTGACACAACCGTATCCGAGCGAGAGCCTGTATCGTCAGACTCTCGATCCTGGAAGTACCTGTCCTCAAATGCAGAGCGCCGCTAGTAGAGTCAGTCCGAACGTAGCAATAAATACGAATCTCATGGCGCAGTATGGCTATCGCGTGGCACAGCCTGGCACCGGCTACATGAATCAAGCGGCGCAGCTCGGTGGTTTCATGAATCAAGCCAGCCAGTTGCCTGTCGGAGTTGTCAATGTACCTGCACCGTACCCTCAGGATCCTCATCAGCAAAATCCAGCAACGGTGTACACGACGTATCACGGCTACATAAATGGCGGTCTTATGCAGCCTTTGAATAGTTCGATGAGGCCACGTTAGCCCCACTTATCTAAACGCACATTCTCTCACTTACAATAACACGATAACCACCCCCCGAATCAGAATGGGGCAATCTCCACGTACTATGGGTTCGTCATCGGCTAACAATGATCGCTTCATCTTCTCACAAGTTAATGCTCTCTTCTATACGAACTCTGACAACTTTTAGGGAAGATGTTACGGTATCGAGAGACTTCTTATACTTCCTTGCATTCGCTTCCACTTTTATCCTTTGAACGACATCCTTTCAATAATGTTTTCCTATCTTTCCTTTCCATCGATATATTTCATTATTTTTAACTCAAGTCTACTAACGTGTTGTTATTTCTTTCTTTTTCTTTTTTTCTTTTTTTTCTTTTACGTTATTTATATTCGTTTCACCTTTTAATACATTCTTTTCGCGTTTCTTCCTCTGTTATTGCTTGACACGACGAGGGTAAGTCACGAGGTCAATGTTCTTGTAGAAAAAGACCGAATCGTGTAAATGTCCAAGATCCAAGAGAGGGAATTATTAAAGGATTGATGGAAGCGGTTGCATCGCAAGAATTAAAGAGCTCGTATTAAACGGATTCTTAACTTGTTGGAATGCACTAAATGAATGAATCCGAGTGTGAATATGACGAATGCGCGCGCGAGCGAACGAGCGAGCGAGCGAGGGAAGGAAGGAAGAATATGTGTGTACGTACGAATTATAATCATAGTATCGAATAGTAAACTACGAGAACTTGGGTTCGTAATTTGTGCATTTAAAAAAGCGATTAAACTAACTCTACCTTGTGAATGTGATCTGTCGATCGATGGATATACATATATGTGTACACGCGCGCGCATTTGATGTAGGGCAAGCATGCATGTATGTATATACAATTTATGGCCCGGTCCACGATCGACAAAACGGATATATACCTATTTTTAGTAGGGCATTCCCATCCGAAATTACAAACGGTGTTACGTTTTCTGTATGATAGTGTATATATATATATATTATACATATATACATATATGTGTGTATATATATGTACTACACATAATAATATTTGCAAAGAATATTCTGTTTGATATTATCGATTGTTGAACGTTGTTATTTACTTTCTCTTCGAGGCACGCTGTACTTTATTGTATCATAAAAATAATTGTACTACTAGTAGTAATTATAATTGTACTATTGAAAAAATTAATTATTATGATCGCCAACTCGTTCATTGTCATTGATCAGTAATGTTCGTTTATTATCTCTCAATGTGAACATGGCGTTTCTCTCATTAATGATCCTTCATAAAGATATCATTCTTGCCGTCGTCAATTGTCTTTGTCATTGTCACATTTCTTATTACTATTGCTGTTATGATTACTATTATTGATTATAGTTGTCACCATTGTCATGGCCATGGTAGGGTGTCATGATTATGGTCGTCGGTCATTATCGGTCATCATCGTTATCATCATCGTCATTATTATTATTATTATTATTATTCTTATTATTATTATTATTATTATTATTAATATTATTATTGTTATCATTATAATTGCTATTCTATCATCGCCATCGTCCTTTTCACCCCACATCGATATAAATAACATTTTACTCGGTCCCTATGCTCTTTAATTATGTGCACAGATGCAGAAAGAAATACAAGCGCCAAGCGTGCGCGCATACACACATACGTATATTCATTCTTTATTCTCTATTGTATGTAATATGTTTATTTTCTATTAATTGAACGAGAGGGCACATACTAGTTTCGAAAGGAATGACACATGCGTAAAAATGCTCTTCCACGGAGCGTCACTAAAAATTATGCTGAAATTATTTTTTGTATCGAATTACAAGAGGCGACGAAGAGATGTTGATATTACTTCGACCTCTTTATGGGAAATGTAAAATGGTGCTCGTTCGTGTACGTTCAATTGTAATTTCCCTCTTGTCCACGACGCTTCGGGGAATGGTCGCGAACAAATAATATATTTATAGTATATTACGAATTTAATTTTTTCAGACGAGACTATAAGAGAGCGAAGGGCAAGGGGATTTGCCTAGTTTTTAGCATAATTCTTGAACGATAAAGAAGATCATTGATAGTGTAAAAATACATCAATATTTATTGTACATAGAGTTAAAAAAAACTACTAACAAATAAAAATGAATCAAAAATAAAGGCTTCATGATGATATTTTGTACGAATAAAAGACTTGTAAGAACTTGTGTAGAAAGAGAGCCGTGTACCTGATGCACGCACGGCAACACGGACTTCGCACTTTTTTTAATTTCGTTCAGCTTTTATCTTATCATTGTCGAAATCAACGTATGCGTATTCTATCTTCTTCTTTTTCTAAACAAATATATATATATATAT